TATTGCTTCAAGCAATTACTAATCTAGCTGTGAACAAACTTTCTTTTGCTAAACCTGGAACAAAAAGCCCTGGTACAAGCAGGGCTGGCTGCTGATGCATGCTTGTAAAGGAGTAGAAGCACAGTAGCTTGCATATCCATTAAATCTGTTTGTGGTCCAGGGTTTCTGTGCGAGCAAGACTGGGCAGGTCAGCGTAAACAGCTGAAATCTTTCAGTGTTAGTGTTCCCAGCCACGCCGGAGGAGGGACAAGGCTGTGCTCGGCACCGGCAGAGGGCAGGCACCAGCCGGGTGCAGGAAAATCATCTCCCCTGAAATGCCTTTGGACTCACAGACTGGCATGCTGCCATTCGCTGCCTGGGCACTAGCCTTTCTTTACATTACTGTTACAAAGGGATTGCAATTAGGTCCAGTATATAACGTGTACAACTTGAACGACGTCTACCTTATGCTAAATATCATTCCCCAGCTTTCAGAGACACGGGCAAAACAGAAAAGCATTGCAGACAGCATTCCTGACAGGCTCTAGCCTAGGCTCGATCCAGATGTTAGCAGATTAAATGCCTGTTCTCTTCTTGAGACCCATCAATGAATTGAGACCCATCAATGAATCTCATCGCTGCCTGTACAATACCGCCCTAGCTGACCGCTTCAACAACTCCCTCATATTTTTAAAGTTCATGCCTCCTTCTGCCTGGACAAGGCACTGAAGACAGGCAGCTGCTGTCTCTGCTGGCATATAGAGGTGTAGCTGCTGGTGCCTCCTACCACTTCTGCTACATGGCTGCTTTGTTGGTTGGTGAGGCAAGGTTAGGAATGCGGGAACGTGAAAGCTGCGGAGCTTCAAAATTAACACTGTCTGAAGAAGCTCAAGAAAACGCCTGTAGGAAAAGAAATGCTCGACTAGAGAAGCAGAAAGGTGGCTTACTGGCAAAGATACAAAAAAATGTAAAAAATCAGGAGGTGTGTTTCTTCCATCTGCAAAATTTGGGATGACTTACTGGATACCGATCTAGAAAAGACAAGCATCATCAGCACAGGAAATTGTGTGGCTTTACATATGCTCTCTGAAAACTCTTCCAAACATAGCACTGCAGGTGGCACAGACGAGCTACAGATGGGGTAGCAGGGACATGGGCGTGGGTTTTGTTGCTGTCTGCCCATGCAGCGCCAGGAGCAGCCTCCAGACGGGGAGAGGGTACATCCATGGCAGGGAGAAGGCAAAGCTGAGGTGCTCCACCAGCAGCTTCGCTTGCTGTTTTGAAATGCGATGGCTCTCGACGTGAATTCTGCCCTTCTTTCCCATGAAATCGTCCCCTCCTTTCCTCATGGGCTTTGATGTCCAGTGCGATGGTTATCAAGGGTAACCATGAAGGAACGCCACATTCAAGCAAATCGCTTCTACACTGGCGCTGTGGTTAGATCATACGACTAGTCCTGCCTACACTGAAAAAGGGTGTACCAATGCACCGGAGCACCAGGGCTAAAGCCCTATTCTACTTACATTTATAAAAACACAGCAAAACCATAGCTCTTACTCATTTGCCCCGCTTTACAAGAAACACGGATACTCTTTGATGGCTGTATACAAGTATGTATCTCAGCGTACACTTACGTACAGAGCCTGGGAGATAGGGAGCTGGGAAGGTCCGCGAATTATGACCCTAATTTTGATTAAATCAACCGCTTGGTGCCCCCCACGAGGATGTCTGTAGCAGAAGTGCTTTGACCACCAGAATGACCCGGCAGAAGGCCAGCGGACACAGGCACGGCACACTCGCCTGTCGGAGCCGGGTGGCTGCCCGGCTCTCCCGCCGTCCCTCCGCGGCAAGTCGGTGGTTTTACAAGTTTGTGCTGTTTGGCGCCGTTACAAAAACT